TCCAGATGTCCCAAACAGTCGGAAGGGAGCTTCATCAGAGAAAATAGCTTTGCACCACTTTTAACGGTCCTGGTGCTTGCTGGACACTCTGGGACGTCCTGAAGACTTCTTCACTGCAGCCGAACCTCTCTCCTTGAAGTTCTTGATGATCCGGTAAATGGTTCTTTCAGGTGTAATATTCTTTGTAGCAATTTCCTTGCATGTGAGGCCATTTTAATGCAAAGAGATGATGGCTGCACGTGTTTCTTTGGAGGTAACCATTGCTAACAAGAACACAATGATTGGAAACGCTTCTTCCCTCCTTTTATAGCAATCAGTCTGCTCTTACAATCTAATTAGTGTGATAGTGATTTTACCTGACTAGTACTCATTCACACTTTCACATGTGCTGCTGATATGATTAGTCAATTCATGTTAGCTGGTCATTTTGTGTCAGGATCAAAAAACTGTGATTTTTTTTTTTTTGTGAAAAGTTCATCACCTTAGCAACAGGCCAGAATCCGCCTAACCACCAATAATGCTTCAGGAACCACTCAGAACGGCCCAGCAACCTCCAAGGCACACCATAGCAACCATCTGAGGGTGTGCAGCAGTTCATCTGTGTTTTTGAAAGCAAATATTTCTATTGCACACTGGAGCAGACAAAAGGACAAAGAGAGCAAACAAATTGTGTGACTCACCGTCAAATGCTGGACAGCAAAGTAAAAGAAAACAAGAAAGATAAAGTACAAATCAAACACAGAGAAGAGAGCGAGGCTCTGACTGGCATCAGCATGTTCCTCACGTTTGCTGTATCATGGGAGAGATGGATGAGCCACAGATGAAGCAGAGAGATACGGACGGATGGATGGAGGGACAGAAATCTCCGCATTGCGTTTCTGCTCCAGGGTCCCACAGAAACGTCCCTTATCTCAGCTGATCTCCATGGGCCAATTAATCTCTGCCCACATTAGAAGCTCCTAATTACATCATTCGCTGGAGCCTGCTGACCATTCTCTAGTTTATAATGAGCTGAAACTACAATCGCACAACAATCTGACTGTAACACACAAACACACCACAGTATGACTGTTAGACACAAATATGCGACAATCTGACTGTTACACACAAACATGCGACAGTCTGTCTGTTACACACAAACACTACATACAGACTGTTACACACATACACACTACTGTCTGACAGTTACACAAACACAAAACAGTCTGACTGTTACACACAAACACAACAGTCTGACTTTTACACACAAACACACTACAGTCTGACTGTTATACACAAACACAAAACAGTCTGACTGTTACACACAAACACACTACAGTCTGACTGTTACACACAAACACACCACAGTCTGACTGTAACACAAACACACGTCAGTCTGACTGTTACACACAAACACACTACAGTCTTACAAACATGCGACAGTCTGACTGTTACACACACACTACAGTCTGACTGTTACACACACACTTTACAGTCTTTTACTCAAACACACTACCGTCTGACTGTTACACACAAACACACGACAGTCTGACTGTTACACACACAAACTAGTCTTTTACTCACAAACACACTAGTCAGACTGTTACACACAAACACACAACAGTCTTGACTGTTACACACAAACACACTACAGCCTGACTGTTACACACAAACACACTACAGTCTGACTTATACACAAACACACTACAGTCTGACTTACAAACAAGCGACAGTCTGACTGTTACACACAAACATGCGACAGTCTGACTGTTACACACAAACACGAGACAGTCTGATTGTTACACGCAAACACACTACAGTCTGACTGTTACACACAAACGCGACAATCTGACTGTTACACACAAACATGTGACAGTCTGACTGCTACACACAAACACACTACAGTCTGACTGTTACACACAATCACACTACAGTCTGACTGTTACACACAAACACACAACAGTCTGACTGTTACACATAAACACACGACAATCTGACTGTTACACACAAACACACTACAGTCTGCCTGTTACACACAAACACGAGACAGTCTGACTGTTACACACAAACACACAATAGTCTGACTGTAACAAACACACGTCAGTCTGACTGTCACACACAAACACACTACAGTCTGACTGTTACACACAAACACACAATAGTCTGACTGTAACAAACACACGTCAGTCTGACTGTCACACACAAACACACTACAGTCTGACTGTTACACACAAACACACAATAGTCTGACTGTAACAAACACACGTCAGTCTGACTGTCACACACAAACACACTACAGTCTGACTGTTACACACAAACACTACAGTCTTTTACTCACAAACACACTGCAGTCAGACTGTTACACACAAACACACTACAGTCTGACTGTTACACACAAACACACTACAGTCTGATTGTTACACACAAAAATACACGACAGTCTGTTACACACAAACACATGACAGTCTGACTGTTACAAACACTACAATCTGACTGTTACACACAAACACACAACAGTCTGACTGTAACTCAAACACATGTCAGTCTGACTGTTACACATAAACACACCACAGAGTCTGTTAGACACAAACACATTAAAGTCTGACTGTTACACACAAACACGAGACAATCTAACTGTTACAAACACACAAACACAAACACACAACAGAGTGTTAAACACAAACATGACAGACTGACTGTTACACACAGACACACACACACTACAGTCTGGCTGTTGCACACAAACACACTACAGCCTGACTGTTACACACACACAAACAACAGACTGTTACAAAGACAACAGTTTGACTTTTGCACACAAACATACTACAGTATGACTGTTACACACAAACACACTACAGTCTGACTGTTACACACACACAAACACCAGACTGTTACAAAAACAACAGTCTGACTGTTACACACAAACAGAATACAGTCTGACTTTTACACACAACAGTGTTACACACAAACACAACAGACTGATTGTTACACACACACACAAACACAACAGTCTAACTGTTACACACAAACACACAACAGACTGACTGTTACACACAAACACACAACAGCGTTATATCTCAAACCTACAGCTGCATAGATAGATTGTGATGATGAGTGTTATAGACATAGAATTACAGTATACAGGGTGAAACCATGATTTATATACTGTTTTAGTATTTATAAATACTAAAGTTCTAAGTTCTATTTTTAACGTCAATTTTCAGTTTTCAAGTTTACATTTTAACAATGTTGCCATTTTATCATTTTTAAAAATATATTTCTATTTAGCTTTAATTTATTTTTTATTTTAAGTTTTAGTATTTTTATGGACTATTGCCATTTTTATTAGTTTTTATTAATATTTATGTTTTTTTATTTATTTTAATTTCAGTTTAAGTAAATACATTATGGGTATTATGGCTTTTCCCATTTTTATGTTTCTATTTAACTTTAAATTATTTGTATTTCCGTTTTAGTCAATTTTGCCCTTTTTATTAGTTTACATTTCTGTTTAGCTTTCATTTATTTTTATTTCAGTTTTGGTAACTTTATTATGGGCTTTTCCCATTTTTATTAGTTTGTTTTGGGTAGGGGCTAATATTTCTATTTGGCTTTATTTTTATTTCAGTTTTAGTAGTTTTGTTTTGGGCTTTTGTCATTTCAATTAGTTTTAGGGAGGAGGGGGTTATATTTCTTTTAGCTTTAACTTATGTCAGTTAGTTCCCAAGGCAACATTTCTAATTTTCACGATTTTTACTTTTTTTATTTAATAATTCTATTTATATAAACATTGATATATTTATATGCAGTCAACAAAGGTGATTTTGAATAGTTTTAGTTAACAACGCTGTATGCAGTGAAGCATTTATCCTTCATATACATGCATTATATGTGAGGCATTCCAACACTGAATTCTTATGTATATGAAGAAAAACCATATACATATAAGAACAAGAAGCAGGTTTTGATTTATAGCTTTATAAATTGGTTTCATTGGCTTTATAGAAACAATAAAGCAGCTCTGTGTCTCTTCGTATATAATCAAGATATTCTTAATTTATTAGTTGCAGAAGCAAGTCTAACAAAACACGCTGCATATGAAATGTGTGGTTTGATGTGAAGCAAGTACATTTATAGAGGTTAATCTCAGTCTCTCTGAGCGTCTAGGCTCCCGGTGTCTTCTGTCGTCAATTATTAAGCGTCGGGGCCGGTCTCACCCCCACCGTCACTCTAGTGTTCAGCTTCAAAATCAAATTAGCTAAGAGAGAGACAACTCCAATCTCAGCCTTCCCCATGGCCTGAGCGCCCACGGCAAACAGTAGTCACATTTCCAGCTTTCATTACTGTGTGTGGATGTAAACAGGCTCCTGGATGTCCAAAACAAGCTGGATGTTTTTCTGGACATAGGAGTCTCTTTCATTGTGCTGCTCATCTTGACATTAATGTGATCCAGTAGCGCATGCGTTCAACTTGCAGGGTTCTGCTCAAACCTCCAGGACAAAACACTTCCTTAGTATTTTTGTCTTATTTTCAAGTACAAATATCTAATCATTCTCAAATCAAGATATGAATTACTTGAGAGGCAAAACAATGTTAGATAACAAATCTTGTTTTCTGAAAAAGAAAAAAAAATCTAAATTAAGTGTTTACGCGTTAAACAAGAAAAAAATATCTGCCGATCAACTTGTTTTCCATTTGAATTAAGGTCATTTTTCTGACCCCACTGGTGGATAGTTTTTGCTTCCTAAAAGCATGAAGTCACTTCATTTTGATGCATTTTTTTCAGAGAACAAGACTTAATATCTTAAATAATTTTGCTTCTAAAGTAAATGTAACTTGATTTAAGGAAGTTTAGATATTTGTACTGCAAAACATGACAAAATACTGTGGAAGAAAATCATCTTTTGCAGTGCATTTAGACTTAAATCTCAGAATCATTAACAATATTTGGTGTAATGTAACTAAGTATTTAATTACTGAGAGGGATTACTCTTGAGTTTTCTGTAATTTAATTACTGTTACTTCTGATGTAATTGCATTACATATTTTATAAGCTATAAAACAAATTCTATATAAAACAATAGTGGATTTAACATAGAAATGTATCATCTAATGTTAGAAAATTTGTTTAATGTAACCTTTAAATACTTTGGTCAGCTCAAGAATAATTTGTTTTCATTCAAGAATCAACTTTATTGAAATAATTAAAAGAGCCATTTCATGTCTGTCCTTGTTTTGTTCAACTGGTCGAGGTTGATATGGCATGCATTACTTTTTGAGAGATAGTAATCTAATTACACTGTCGAAGATGTAATTAGTAGCTAGTAATTAATGACTTGTTTAGAGTATCTTACCCAAGACTGATCATGAATTCAGTGAAGGAGAGAAAGAGATGTTTTGTTTTTGTTTTGTTGCTGTGCTTGTATTTCCATTTTCTCCATCTCAAAACTGCAGTATAAACACAAAAGTGTGTATTTTTTACTCCGAGTTTATGCAGGTGCTCTGTGCTAGACTAGTCCAGGTTTATTGATTTAATTCTGTGCATTTCTCACTGTTAATGACATTTAATTTGCCGGTTAAAGAACAGTGCGTCTTTGGTAGTTTGTCTGGCTTAAATTGCATCTCTCGCGATGGATTTGCAACAGACAGATGTAAGTGTCATTTGTTGCAGTTTAAGAAATAAAAGCACGAATAAAGCTGCAGTCATTACTCCAGTTACTGATGGTGCTCAAGGTGGCACTTACTCACTCCAGACAATCATCGTGAAACAAGTGAGAACGGTGCGCTGAGCATGTGAGATATTCGTTTGTACTCATGTGTCATGATGCTGTTCTGATGTTGTTCTTGTTGTCAACGCAACTGTCACAGGAGGCAAAGTTTGACCAATCACAGACTACTGGAACAAAGATTTCTAATCTATAACGAGATTTGTCACGAACACACAGACAGGCCGATGGGTTGCGCACACATTCACTGACTTGTGCGTCTGCGGATTGACGGTTTGAGGAGGTTTATCGTTCACATATCTTTGCTCGTTTCCATCAGTTCTCCTTCAAGTGCATTTTAGAGAAGATACTAGAAGGTAATCGTCAGGATTGAAGGTTCCTCTCCTGTGAGCGATTCTGCCCTCTCTGGGAACAGATTGCTCTGGATTTCCTTGCGTATCGTAAGATATTCCAACAAATTTAATAAAAGCAGGAAATATTGTTGTGCCCGGTGGCACATTAACACATCGGCTCGTATAATTCACAAACCGGCGGTGTCAGTTACTGAATTATCAGACTCCATTCGGCGCCCTTGACAGATCGTTCCTCTAAACGGCTGGTCGCCTCCAGCGGCTTTTTCTAGCAATGGATATAAAAGATTTGTCGACGGTGAACCGGCATTCATTTTATACTGAACCGTTCCCCAGACTCTCAACCCGCAGATGCACGCCTCTACGCCGGGGCTGTTGGGTGGGGCAGACTCTGTGAAAGATGCCATTAACATACTTTCCTTTTCAGCTTCTAACAGATGTATGTGTGTTCTGAATGTTAATGTCTCCTTTTCTCCTGGTGGATTTTTTTGAGCTTAATGACTCTGTTCATCAATATGCAAACAGGATGGTCTTTTTGAAGGTTCTGCTGGTTAAGGGGAGGGTGCCGTGTTGATGCCATGGTTTGAGGAGGTTTCCCAAAGTGCACAGATCAGAGCCAAACAGTCCTTCCCCCCCTAAGCAATGTTTGTCACACTAATTTGCCTCATCATATGAATAACAATGATGTGCATTATGTGTTTAAACAAAACAATCTCTTCTGCACCCCGTTTTCCTAGATTCATGCTCCATTTCAGGTGTTGATGCCACAGATGAAACTGTTTGACAAATCTGAGCTGAATCCTAATGAATACTTGAATACGTCTTGTGTAATTTCAACTTTTGACATTCCTTGACAAGCCAGTTCCAGGGGAAAAAATGGGCTTTTGTTATTCATGGTATGAGATTTCAAAGGGAAAGGCTTATGGATAATTATCTTGAAAGATTTGGTCTGTGTTTTGGGGGGGAAAGTCTTGTGGGACAGTAATTTGAAAATATCACCTTCGGTACCCCGGGGTGAGCGTGGGAAGTTTTGCATATAGATCCTCATCATTAGCAAGCTATCACCATGCCAACGGGGAGTGGGGATTATGAGCTTTATGAGCTCCGAGAAATCGTTCACTGAATGATGAATTCAAAACACTTTACCTACTTTGAAACATGGGCTGAAATTTGTTTATCACTATCCCAGAACAATCTTACACAGCTTTCTTTTTGTAATTTTTTTTTCATGCAAAAATCATGCGGCCAATTTGTTAATGTAAGTGACCTGTACTACGTGGTTTGCTCTCTTCTTAAACATGCAGTCAGTGAGTGGAGGTTAGCACAGCTAGCATTAGCATTAACACAGACGTAGAACTGTTTTTGTAGGATTTTTATATGAATGTACATTCTAGCTGGTCTAGCACATGCTTAAGTTTTAATGTTTCTCTGTATTACTCTAACCTTGTAATGTATATGACTGTAATGCCTTAGCATTAGCCTAGCTGTTTATAGTCCGATTTTAAATAGATGCTAACGAAACTAACTTTAGAACTAACCTCATTAAGTCTTAGTGCTGTTCTAATGATGGTTCTTCTCTCTCTCTTGTGCATTAATTTGCTCGGGTTCCAACTAACGCCGTGTTCCTTCTCTCTTTCATCCTAGGAGGTGAACTAGTGTTGCCAATTATAACTGTGGATTCCCTTGACCCCCCGTCAATTGTGACACGTTACCCCATAATCCCCCCACCCCCGACCTATCGCCCCTTCTTCACCTTGCTCGAGACCACCAAAGAGTCTCTCCCCTTGCCCGGCCGACCCCCCTGTCTGCTGGACCAGGAGGACTGCGAAGAGCCCATGGAGGTCTCAGCCTTCGGCTCGGGCGAGATGACGGAGTCCGACGATGAGGACTACTATAAAAACTCCCCCCTTGTCACTGATCGGACCGTACTCCCCCCTCCCCCCGCGGCCGGGAACCCCCGAGGTGACCGGCCATTCGCCCGTTTGCCCAAATCCCATCGGC